ACATCAATATAAAATAATAAATCCAAAAAAAAACGTTTGCCAAATTATTTGAAGAAATTATGATGAATAAAGAAACAATAACCGCAAAACAAATTAAAAAAGGATGACTATTCAAAACCTCAGATTAAAAACAAATAGCACCGTTAAAATGAATAGAAAAACAACTCATGAATTTTGATCATCTCTATATGGGATATAAATACTTAACTAACTTTGAAAAGAAAGATAGAACCAAAGTCACAACAATACTGGAAAAATATCCAAAAGTAATTGACCTTTCAAAATTACCTGACAATATATTGGACAAATTAAAAAGACAGTACTGTTATTATAATCTCAAGTATGACAATAATGGACAAGCATACTAGATAAAGATATGACAAACAAATGAACTTCAAGTTATACTTGTAACAATTAAATTCTTAATGACTGAATATAAGGATCTTACCCTTATCTAGAAAAACCAGTAATACCAATCCGGCCACTTCAAACTTAACCTTAGCCACTAAATTATTACCTATTTTGATGAAATGATGTGCACTACTTATAAACAAACAATAAAAATCATTAAAAAATTGGCTAACTTCGTGGCCATGATTCTTCTCAATTTTATTATGAAGCCACCTTTAAAATTTTATGTGAAGAACCTTCGAATGCTAGAGAATTTGCAAACTCTAATTTAGAAATTAAACCAACAGCTTCTTCTTTCTAAATAAGTCAAGAAAACAAAATTTACCATATGAAATTTAGGTGCGTCAATCATTTGATCAATTAAAAATTTTACATGTGACAAATCGGGTGCCTGATACGATATACGCTCGATATAAATTTTTATTTTTAATAAATTATATAAAAAGTAATACTATCGCTATGTAATCATGGCGATCACGTGATTAGGGCGCACCATTTTTTAAAACCCAGAAATGTTATTGTCCTCATTTTTTTCATTAAATTCATTAGGTTCATTAGGTTCATTAGGTTCATTAGGTTCATTAGGCTCATTAGGCTCATTAGGCTCATTAGGCTCATTAGGTTCATCAGGTTCATAGGGAACATTCGGATTGAGTGCGTATTTTTGTAGCCACGCGTCTTCAGACCATACTAAAAAAATTTTGATAACGAAAAAATTTAGGTTGAATTCAAGGAAAAAAAAAATAGTAATAAAAAAAACTTACCAGCTCGCATACTCCCTTCTTTAATTCTCATGGGCCTGGCCAAATTGACTTTAATAACCTTACCATAAAGTTCTGATAAATTCATATTATCAATTGCAGCTTGAGCATCAGCAGCTTCTTCGAACTCTATAAAACCAAAGCCACGATGCTGATTGTCTTTTGTGAACACATCAAAGTTTAATTACAAAACTTTGTAATAATATTTTAAAGGTCAAAATACTTAAAGCTCACGAGAAGCAGGATCCGGAGGTATTTGAATTTCAACAATATCTCCAAAGGGAATAAACGCTGCGTGGAGGATTTGTTCATTAACTTGATCATCAAGGCCTCCTACGAGTAAAGAAGCGAAAGTCATATTCGAAATTGTTCCGTCTTCTCACGATCTTAAACTAATATCTTATATTCGTACCAACATAGATAGTCGTCTTACTAGTGTTATCTTTAACAAGGGCTGCCATTTTTTTTCATCTAACAAAATAAGAGGGGAGGTGAATTTATCATTATTAGCCTGTGTTACGTTTTATCACATGATTAATATGCACATATATAAATTTGACCTGTTTTTTTTTTTTTTTGGCCATTCAACCTTTTCTTGAATATAATGGCCGCTGAGAAAAAGATCGAGGCTGAAGATGTAGTTAATTCAAAACCTGGTGTAACAAATGACGAATTTAATCAGAAGACATCAAAAAAACCACACGTTAAAAATAAGCGTAGAAAAAAAAAGAAAAACGATTCGAAAGCAACCGGAGTCACGACACAAAATAATAACGTGTCAGATAACACTGAAAACGGGCAGGTATGTACAAACTATTATTGCTTCTTATGTCTATTTCGATGTCTAAAAATCTTATTTTTATAATTTTTTTTATTTTTTTTTAACGGTTTCTTCACGTTTTGGTCAATACCTAATTTTTATAAAATCAAGTCTTCAGAAATTGATGATTCGGAAAATGTGGAAATTGAGTACGTATTACAACCTCTGGATGTAACTAACGATCCTTACTATGAAGAATTCTCAAAGGTTTTTGCCCATTTTCAGATAACCCAAGACGAAACTGAGGTATCGTTTATCTCGGTCATTAAGATTCTCATATAACAGAACTGAATTTTCTATTTAATTTTTGTGCTTATAAATTTATGAAAAGAACATATTCACTAAATTCTATGGATTATTGATGGATAGGTAAAATCAGAAACTAAGGAAGAAAAGAATGAGACTTTAAAGATTCAAAATGAAACTAGAATGAAAGATTCCGAAGAAGTCTCTGAAAATGAGTCTGAAGAAGATAAACAAGAAAAAGTATCAAAAAAGAAGCTAAAAAAAATGAATAGATTAAGTGTCGCCCAATTAAAACAATTGGTTAAGAGACCGGAAGTTGTTGAAGTATGTAATACCAATTTTTCTCTTTTTATATTATATAAATTTCCAATATACTAATAAATATTATTTATAAAAAGTGGGTTGATGTAACAGCCGCGGATCCAAAACTTCTAGTTAGCCTCAAAGCTTATAGAAATACGGTACCCGTTCCTCAACATTGGTCTCAAAAAAGAAAATACCTTCAAGGAAAAAGAGGAATTGAGAAACCAGCTTTCGATCTACCTGGTATTACATTTACAATACACATCTAGCTTCTCTAAGGTATAAATATATCCCTAATTTTTTGTTATTTTTACAACTTGTAAAGATTTTATCAAGGATACTGGTATTATGGAAATGCGTGAAGCAGTTAAAGAAAAAGAAGATGCTGCAAAATTGAAACAAAAAACTCGTGAGCGCGTCCAACCAAAAATGGGTAAACTAGACATTGATTATCAAAAACTGCACGATGCATTTTTCAGATTTCAATCCAAACCCAAATTGACAATTCATGGAGAATTGTGAGTCATTCAAGTCTGATTTTCATTTAACTTATTAGTTTTCATCAGCACATCTGTTAAATATAATTTATATATATATATTTTTAAGATACTATGAAGGAAAAGAATTTGAGACTAAACTCAAAGAAAAAAAGCCAGGTCAACTTTCAGAAGAGCTTAAAGCTGCCTTGAATATGCCTCCTCTTGCCCCCCCTCCATGGCTAATCGCAATGCAGAGATATGGTCCACCACCTAGTTATCCTAATTTAAAAATTCCCGGATTAAACTCTCCTATTCCGGAAGGGTATGTACATCGAAATACTTTTAATCATATTTCATAATATAATATAGTTAAAATTTTATATTCTATATAATTTTTTAATATAATCTTAGTGCTCAATGGGGATTTCATCCAGGTGGATGGGGAAAACCTCCAGTAGATGAGGTAAACGTTTTACAATTTTTGCAAAATAGTAGAACAGTTGTATAAAGATTTTAATCTAATTTATGTATATATAGTACAATCGTCCACTATATGGTGACGTTTTTGGAACATATCAACAAGAAATCCCCTCAGATGTAAGCTTTTTTTACTTCTTCATATACTGGTTATATATGTAGTTATATTTGTAACTTAAAATTCGGCATTGTAGATTGTCCAGCCAATTGAGCGGTCACTATGGGGTGAATTAGAAGCAGAAGAAGGTGGTAAGTAATATTCATTTGAAAAATTAATTATATATCGCAACTTAATTTATTTAAATATAAATATATAAATATTAGAATCAGATGAAGAAGAGGAAGCAGAGGAGGAAGAAGAAATTGGAGAGGATGAAAGTTCATCAACGAAAGCATTACAGGAAGGTCTTGCCACGCCGAGTGGAATATCTAGTGTACCTAGTGGTTTAGAAACACCAGAATATATAGAACTAAGAAAATTCCAAGCTAGTACAGCAACACAACAATCGCCTGCATTGCCTAGCGGGTTAGAAACACCAGATATTATTGAATTAAGGAAATATTCAAAGTATGGATTTAATTTTATTAATACTAAACTTTTAATTGCGAAATTATTGATTGTATATTGTTTGATTTTATATTAGACCCGATGAAGACGAACCAAAACCTTTATACACAGTGCTTCCACAAAAAGATACGAATATTTCCGGCTTTATGGGATCACAGCATGCTTATGATTTATCTGCTGCAGCAACAACTGGAGGTGTTAAAGGCGCAAAGGTAATTGAATTTTACTAAAAAAAAAAAAAACTTTTTAATGATAAATTTAAATGTATATATTAATTAAATTGATTTAATATATACATATCTTACAGCGAAAAGTTGTTGGAACTGGTATCGATGTAGCACTCGACCCTTCAGAAATGGCAAATCTAGATGAAGAAACATTAAGGGCTATATTTGAAGAAGCACAACAGGTTTATATTATATTTAAAATTGTATTTTTATACTCAACATTTATTTACTAACTTTCTATTTTTAGGCGAATAAACCTGAAGGTTCACGTGAAGACTTTTCAGATTTGGTCGCTGAACATGCTAGTAAACAAGCAAAAAAGAGGCAAAAATTAGCAGATGCGAAAGCTGCTGCAAGAGATGCTGGTTCTGGTGGGAGTTCGGCATCTAAGAAATATAAAGATTTCAAATTTTAAACATTTATTTTCTTTTATTCAAGTTTTATATTGGTAAGTCTCGAGTAAAATGATTAAAATCAAATAGAGCTTCTTCATTTAAAATTATTATTTAACGTAGTTAATGCTGGTGATAATTGTGGGACTTTTAAATGTTTTTTTTAGTTTGAATAAAGTTTCAACAAACAAAACCTCAAAAATTAGTGTTTATATATTACTTGTTATACTACTTGTTACCTTGTTACTAACTTTAATTTATTATCTAAAAGTCCGGTTGGTCCTGTTTTATGCTTAAATG